TTGTTTTTTTTTTTTTTTTTTTTTAAGCATTTTTAAAAGGTCTTGGACAGGAAGTGGGCAACTTGCTTGTCCTGCAAGAAAGCCACCCAGAAATTTCAAGGCTTTAAAGGAAAAGAGGTACAGGTGTGCAGAGATGTGTGTACAGGTGTGCAGAGGTATGTATACAGGTGTGCAGAAGGTGTGTGTACAGTTGTGCAGAAGGTGTGTGTACAGGTGTGCAGAGGTGTGTGTACAGGTGTGCAGAGATGTGTGTACAGGTGTGCAGAGGTGTGGGTACAGGTGTGCAGAGGTGTGGGTACAGGTGTGCAGAGGTGTGGGTACAGGTGTGCAGAAGGTGTGGGTACAGGCAGGGACTGAGGTGACCCATGTGCCTTCAGGCATGATGTTATGACATCCATGCAGTGACGGTCCACACAGAAGAGTGTATATGGCTCTTCATCAGATTCCAAGCACCCTCATCCGCCTAAGACACAGAGTGAAGGCAGCTGAGCCAACCGACTTTAAAACGCTTTAGAAATTCATGAAAATACCATGGCTCAGGCCTGCCATCCCAGCTACTGAGGAGGCTGAGCAGGATTGAAAGTCTGAAGGCTATCTAGACTAGAGTGGGTTCAGGAGCAGCCTGGTAAACCTAGGCTACACATCAGAGCACTAACCTTTAACCCAGCAGAGGCAGGCAGGGTTCCAGGACAGCCAAGGCTACATAGAGAGCCCTGTCTCAGACAGAACAAAACGCAAAAAATTAGGAAAAGGACTGGGGACACAGTTTGGTGGCCTGCTTGCCTGGCACCTAGGATCAACCTCTGACTTGGGGGAGGCATGTTAGGTTGCTACCTATCAGGGGAAGAGGGAAGGACAGTAGGCAGATTCGGCTTCAGAGCTTGTGCAAACACACCCATGTGCACGTGTGTACACACACAGAATCATACACACACACACACTCACACACATCCTACTATCTAAAGAAGAATAAGGGTTTGACTTTAGCAGCAATCCTTGGAAGAATCAGAGTGGAGGGAGGAAATGGGAGCCCCAAGGTCTCATTAGGAACTTTCTGAAGGACCCTGCCTGTGTGGACAATAAACAGTGAAGATTAACCCCAGAGACCATTATCACTCCGGAGTACACAGAACAGTGAGTAGAGTTCGTACACACATCCCAGAGTCCCCTCTCACCTAGCAAAGCATTTCCCTGGAATTACAGTATTTTATACACAAGTCAGTGCAGTCAGAAAACTTGAGTGGCCAAGTTCAAATAAACAATAAACCAGATTGCAGTGTGACAGCATCCTCAGACTGCTGGGTACCTGACTTCCACTCTCACCTTAGACCAGACTAGCTTGGCAAGGTGGGCATTTGAAGGCTAAGGTTTACAGGCAGAGTAACCCACTGTCCACAGACAGTAGCCAGGGAAGAGTGGCTACCAGAATAGAATCCAAACCCATCCTATCTAGAGCCAACAAGTCCCTGCTTGGCTAGCTCTAAAAACAATGGGAGTGGTAAGGCAAGAACTCTTCACCAGATAAACAAATGGACAACTCCTGACCCCACCCCATACCAGGGCCCTGCACACATACCCAACCCCTGAACAGCTTCCCCATGGAGCTGACTTCTCAGCCTTCTTTTTGCTAGCCTTGACCTTGCTCAGTCACTGCCATCTTTCTGCCTCAGCCTCCCAAGCAGCTGGGATTCCAAGCCTGTGTCACAAGTCACCTGTCCGTATTCTTGAGTGTCACTTTTAGAGGACATCCTTGGCCAGTGTGTCTTCATCTGATGACTTATTTAATAAGCCCAGACTTAACAGATGAGGGCAAATACTCATTAGTGCACATTACCACTTAGAAATCATGATGACTTCAAACCATCTGAAGTCATTTTTCGCCTGCCGGAGTAAGAGCAGCATGGAGTACCATATCGTCTTCCAATGGCAGACAGGCAGGATCTGTTTCAGAGAACTTTAAGAAAAACAGCACCAGGTTCTCACAGTCAAGTGAATCTACTAAAGCTTATTCTGCCAGGTTAGGCAACAGTAGAAGCAAGACAGACACACTAGGGAATAAACCTGGAGGCGTGAGGGCAAAAGTCTAACTACTCATGACAGGAGATCCTCATCACTTCAGTTCTTAAAGCAAGCAGTCTGTGTGAGCAGACAAGGCCCATGCAGCCCCACTGCAAAGGCCAAGAGGGCCTTCAGGCTCTCCCACACACTCAGAACAGAAACCGTCCTTGTCACATGGTGTCCCAGGAGCAAGAGAATAAAGATCAAGAGAAAGGAACCTCTGTCCCTGGAGGCAGAATGAGTAGTTTAGTGTATTCTTGTCAACATCTGGCTACAGCTGGGCCTTTCTTTCTGAAGCCAATTAAAGCAAGAATCAGAGGACTGTTACATATGTATGCATGTGTGTCTCCTTTAAGAGCCTGGCAGAACGTTAACTAGTGAACAAAACACTTACATAAACATAAAAGAGAATGTGTGTGTGTGTGTGCCTGTGTGTGTCTATATGCGTATCTATGTCTATGTGTGTATCTGTGTGTGTGTGTCTATGTCTGTGTGTGTGTCTATGTGTATGTCTGTGTGTGTGTCTGTTTGCGTGTGTGTCTATGTGTGTGTGTCTGTCGATGTCTGTGTGTGTCTGTCTGTGTGTGTCTATGTCTGTGTGTGTGTCTGTGTGTCTATGTCTGTGTGTCTATGGGTGTGTCTGTGTGTGCATCTATGTCTGTGTATCTATGTGTGTGTTTGTGTGTGTGTCTATGTGTGTGCCTGTGTGTATGTCTGTGTATGTGTGCCTATGTCTCTGTGTGTGTGTCTATGTCTGTGTGTGTGTATTTATGTCTCTATGTGTCTATGTCTGTGTATCTATGTGTGTGTGTGTGTGTGTGTGTGTGTGTGTGTGTGTGTGTGTGTAAGAGGGACAGCTCTAGCCTGGACATTATTTATATTTTTAGGAGTTGCCTCCTAGCAGCTGAGGCAAGATCTGCATGTTCCCAAATGTCACCTACCAAACTGAGAAAACGTGATACTAATTTAAAACTCCCAGAAAAAAAGATCCCCCTCTTGCTTCCCACACAAAGAAGAATCCTATTTTGTAAAGAGCAAAAAGACCCCCCCCAAAAAAAATATCATTATTTCTTGGTTAATACAATATATTCTCTCATGAAGAAATTATGTTTTTCCTTCCAAGTGAGTTGAATTCTATGTAGAGGTGGCTCATTAATCTTAAGTGACAATCTTCTCACTATACTTATGGCACAAGAAAGGATTGGGGGGAGCTTTCATCTGAGGATGAGGCACTTGGACTTCCATGCACCCCCAAACATTTTTAGAATGCTCCTACTCCTGAGGCCCCACAGAGGCACACTGTCTAAATAACATACACAGACAAGCTCTTGGTCATATACAAACAGGAGACTGAGTTATGTAGTCTATTAGAATGACCTAGCAAAACTAATCAGATTGGATGCCGTAAGAAGACTGTTGTAGCTGTGTGGGTCTCCTGAGTTTTATTCCTTGTGCAAAACTGTAGTTGATTTCCAAGGACTCTGGCTGGTGAAATTTACAGAAGACTTTGCAGAATGGGGCGACTGCATGGGGCACCATGGGAGAGGGAACTGGGGCAACAATTTAGGACATTAACCAATGTCAATCAGAAAAATAAAAGGAGAAAAAGATCAAAGTTCTTAACCAATGGCGGATTCGGGGGCTGACTGATTTGAGGGTATTCTCAGAGGCGTGCACACATATGTGTACAACCAGGACACTCCCAACAGAAGAGAAGCACGATTTCAGGAGAACTGGCAGGCACCATGAGCCCCTACTATGCACTCAGCAAGGCCCACACCATCTCACTGCACACTGTGGTTTCCTGCAAGCACCAGGACCCCTGTTGGAGGCCCCTTCTGTGCAGGGTGACCCGCTTTGCCCCAGTACTGCAGACACCCACACGCAGCAGACTCCCAGCCACAGCGAGGCTCGGAAGATCAAGGGACAGTCGCAGCAGCCTTTTTAACTTTGGGAAAACCCAATGCTCACTTCACTCAAACGTCGCAAAGTGGTGCCATGACCCTTTAGCTCTTGGCTCACCAATTCAAAGAGGCACATCACATACAGCCCTTCCGCTGCCCACGGCATGGTTCTGCGTCTAGTTCCTTTCCAGGTCCCCCCAAGCGGAAGACAGTTCTAGCAGGGAGTCCGGGCCGATATTACTCTAATATTCAGCCTTTGTCCATTCTTTTGTCGTCTTATTATAGACCGAGGTTGAAGGTTGCACTCAGACCAGCCCTCAAGAGGTACCTGCAGAACCTTAAGTTCTGCATCCCCCCCCCCCCCCCCCCGTTTCAAAGATGAAGTTATTGGCCTTCAAAGCAAAAGGCAGAGTCCCTTCCTCAGGCTTCCATAGAGGGCCTGGGACAGGCTGAACTCTAAAGCCAGACCTCCTACCTCAGCAAACTTAGGGAGCACGGAAGTAAGTGTGCGTGGGTAGCCCTGAGCCAGGCCAGGATTCAGCCCCCTGGTAAGCTCCTGGTGTATACAAAGCCACTCTTCTTCTCTGGGCTTTAGTTTCCCAACTGTAAAATGATCTCTTAAGATAAAGTGTGCCTTGTAAAATGAAGAGCCGGTGCATCAAAGCTACCTCAGGGCTTAGCATATGTATATGGATACAACTTCTACACACACAGCTCATATATGATGTACTGCAAATATTCCCCCAGTAACCGTGTCCCCCCTCATTCCTATCCAAGGAGCACAGACAGTCCCATGAGGCGTCCCACACCTCCCCTTCTAAAGAGTGACCGGAAGGGTCCCAGGCTGATTGAGTCGTCACTCCTTGGTAGTGGGGGAGCCGCCCATCTCGGCCCAGCTAGAGAGCCTAAGTTAAAGCGGACTCGCGTGGGGCGGCGCAGGCCGGGCTGCGGGGCAGGCCGTGGCAGTGCGGAGTGGCGCACGTGGCCCCGCGTGGCCCCTCCCTCCCGCACGGTCCCCGCACGGTCGCCGCCGCGTACCTGGCGAAGCAGCACTCACAGTGGTGGCCCCGCTCGCCCACGGTGAGCACGCAGGCGTAGGCCGGGCAGGAGAAGAGGAGATCGCCCACGTGGAAGGGTCGCAGCGCGCGGAGCCCCCGGCCCTTGCCCGCGCTGCAGAAGCGCTCCAGGCCACCGCGGGCCTCGGCGCGCATGCTGGCGGCGCTGCGGCTGCGCGCTGCGGGGCACGCGCGTCACGGGAGGGCGGGCGGGAGGGAGGCAAGGAGGGAGGGACGGCCGCTGTGCGGCCCACGCCGGCCTTCAAGGAACTTGGGCGCTCGGCTCGCTCGGGGCGGGCGCTGGGCCCTGGCCGCGCCCCGGAGCCGCGGGCGGGCGGGAGGGCTGAGCAGGGAGCGCGCCTGCCGGCGGGGATCTGCGTACACCCACCAGGCTGAAGCCACGCGACTGCTCCGTGGGAAAGACAAGCAGTCCAGGCCACCGCCCCTGCTGTGCCAGCAGAAGGTGTCCCCGTGTAAGACCCAGGCTGCTTCAGCAGGGCGTGAATGAACGTGGTTTGCAGTTGCTGAGCAAAAAAACAGATCTCTCCCCTCCCTGGGGACTAGAGACAGCTAGTTCATTCTGGAACCAGTATAAGGGGCCATGCCCAGGTTTGGGTTACCCCAAATTTTATGTTCCGAGATTGTAACAGCTTAATAAAATGTAATGTCTGTAATAACACAACAAAGTCATAAATCAAGACACCAAAAATACATCCGTGGGACCATCAGGTAGGCTGGCTACAGAAGAGAGGCAACCTCACGGTAGGCCTCTCTCGGATGCTGTCTGACTGCATTCTTAGTGTTTGGGTTGGTGTGAGCTAGCGAACTGATTAATGCCCCAAAGGCTTTACCTGTTACTCACAAAGATGTTAGGTTAGACCCAGAGTATACAAGGAGTGGCTGTCAAAGACAAGCGTGGGGGAGGGAGACAAAAAAAAAAACCCTGTCATTAAGCTCCAGACCTGCAACATTCCAACCTCTCCACAACAGTTGATCAACTTTGCAAAGGTTCTATGTGAGTTGTAGTTCTTTCCCAAGCTTTTGTTCACAGGCTAAATCATAAAATGCAGAATTTGTGGCACTTGAACAAAATTAATAAACCTTCCTCCAAGGACAGGACAGCATGGGTGTGGATCCTTTTGCCCAAATTTATATTTTATTACTACATTATTATTTATTTTTTTATTTGAACAAGTTCATGTGTGTGAGCATGCACCTATGGCATATGTGTAGAGGTCAGAGGGCAACTTGCAAGAGGTTCTTGCCTTCCATCCCACGGAGCTTGGGATTCAAACTCTGGTTGTCCATCAGATTTGGTGGCCTTTGTACACTAAACCATCTTGCAGCCCCACTAAGCATGAACTTGTGGGCGTCATTGGGTCATTGGACTATAAACTTGGACAACACTCTGAGTGACAGGTGTGTGACTACAGCAACACTCCTTTGACACAACCTGCCAGAGGTGTCTCACTCTCAGAAAAGATGCTTGTCCCTGTGTCTCAGCCTGTTCTGTGCTACTGTAACAAAGTACCAGAGAGGCTGAGTGATTTGTGAAGAAGAGTTAGGTTTGCTTAGCTCGCAGTTCTGGATGCCTAAGTGGTTTTTCTCAAACCTTGGAGTTTTCTGAACATGCCCCCATGCAGATCTTCAGTGACTTTTTGGACTGTCATTTGTTTTGCATTTTAGCATTCTGGTTTGGGCTGGGGGAGGAGGGAAGGTGTCTTACCAATACAAAGACGAAAAGATTTGCATAGAAGTAAACAAACATCATAATTGTAAAAGGGCATACAATCGACTGTTTCAAGAACTCACTGTGCAGAATGGCTGAGTAATTCATACACACACACACCCCCACACACACACCACCACCATCACCACACACACACACACACACACACACACACACACACACACACACCATTTTCTCACTCTGCATGTTTTGTTTTGAGTCAGGCTGGCCTCAACCTCCCTATGTGACCTTCATATTTGGATCCTCCCGTCTCTGTCTCCATGGTGACAGCATTACAGGTGTGTGGCACCACACCCGGTTTCATGGGGGCACTGGGCACTGAATCCAAGGCATCTAGGGCCAGAGGTGGCTGTCACAGGAGAACCATGGAAAACAAGCAGCTTCGTTTCAGAAAAATCCGTATGAACTTGAGTGACTCGAGATGGGGAAACAGGCAGTGAAGTAATAGCCATAAAGTTAGGAGGCTCAGTTATGATAAAAACCATGCTTAAAATAAATGGCCAAGGCATGGCTCCCAGCCAGCCGGGACAGACTGATGACAGCACCCTCCACACAGCTCATGCTTGTCACTCTGCCACTCAACGGTCTCACATTCCGTGAAGGAAGGTGCATGGCTGCCAGGGCCTGTTGATCATCTCCTGTCCCGTTGGCCCCATGATTTGGGAAAAAACAGTGTGGGAAGAAGGTTTGGAGCTCCTCTGCCTTGCGCTGAAATGCAGACATGGCTCAGGATGAAGGCCCCATTTGCTTAACTGCTCAAGCCTGGGAGTTCATCTAATCCATTTGTAAAGCATCCTTCCAGCTGCAGATTAACACGTGGAAGAAACAGCTCTGGGCTAGGAAATAAAGCCCTAGCAGAGAGGGACCAGAAGGGAATATGGACCAGGGCCCTGCGGCAGGCTGTTGTTCCTCTATAAGGACTTTATCTGCTGAGCATGAGCAGAGGAGATCCAGCACATTCGGGGTGCCACACCCACAGATAGCTGAGATCTAATCAGGTGCTCACACTGTTGTAGGAAGGTACATTTCCAAAGGCACTGGGTAACAACAATATTACCGGTGCCTCATACCTAGCAGAGAGCGTGTACACATTACCTTGTATGGCTAAGAAGGAGGCTTAAAATTCCATCCCAAGGTCCCTTTACAGCAAGGCAGAAGGAGAGTCAAGGTGGCCAGAAGAGGAGGTAGCACCTGCTGTAGGACATGGACAGACTTGGTGTGGCCCTGCAGTGGAGTCTGCCAGCAAAGAAGCCTGTCTTCCTTCAGAGCTCCTGCAGGGAGCATGGCCTATGACATCCTGAAATCAGTTCAGGAATGCTATGTCCAGATGTCTGGCCTGCAGAACCATGAGAGGTACATTTTTTGCTTTTAAAACTGCTGTGCCTATGGTCAGTTGTCACAGCCACCAGAGGAAAGCAATAGATACAATTCTTCCTCCCAAGGAAGAACAGAAAGACTGTGGGGTAAATAGGGTTTAAAAAGACACTGGCTGCAATTTCTGCAGGTAGGAGAGCATTGGACATCCAAGGGATAATTTTATTTAGCACACATTTACAGAGCTCTGTGTGCTAGGTACCTGTGAAACATTTTCACTGAGGGGCCTGGAGAGGTGGCTCAGTGGTCAAGAACAGTGGCTGCTCTTGCAGAGGACCAGGATTGCATCCCAAGAACCCAGAAGGCAGCTCACAACCATCTCTAATTTCAGTCCTCCTCTGGCAACCTAAGCACTACAGGCATGTGGTATAAACACACATAGGCAAACCCCACTTCACAACACACAAATAAAAATTTTAAGATTCTCCTTTAATCCTGCTATTGGCACGTTATAGATTAAGACCTGAACTTAAAATTCTTTGTTGAAGGCGGGGAATGTAACCCAGTGGAATTGTGCGTATTTGACTTGTACAAGGCCCTGAGTTTGGCTTGGATCACTACAAAATTTAAAAATTACTTGTCTGATAAAAGCCAGTATACTTGGTAGTGAGTCTATACCCTGGAATACTTCACCGTGACGTTTCCCAATGAGCCAGAGCCTCCGACCTAGGCCAGGATATCCCCATAAAAGTGACAGGGTAGAACATGACATGTCTGTGCCTAGGAACCAGACTGGACAGTTCTGTGTGGGCATTGTGGTGCCAGGGAAGAATGTGGACTGGCAGGGTCAAATTTTTGGTTCAGAAAGGCAGTTTTAATGATTTAGTAGACAATGACTTAGGCAGTGGTCCGGGGAGAATGCTGGTGTTCACAAGGGGAGGAAGAATAGGTTTGAAGATCTTCTCCGTGGCAGGAACTGGTGAGTTAGGGAGAGTGACGGGAAAGGACAAGGGCAAGCAGAAGCCATGGGAACTATGTTAGATGAGAATGGACATTTGCCTCACCCAAGCCCTCAACTCCACTTCCCATCATCATCCCAGTGTTGATTCCACAGGAGAGAGTTTGGCTCTTGATGCTTTGTGTTTAGATCAGTGCAACAGCATCCTCAGAAGTATGACTGGCAGGCTATTGCTAGAGATGCTAGCCAGGGACCATGCATTCCAACTCCGCACCTCCCTTATCTCTTACCTCTTGTTTGGCAGCCTTGGCTTACAGAAGAAATAAGCTTGCAGAGTAAGAGTGTAAACTCTTGAACTTCAGTAGCCTACAGTGTGGGATTGCAGAGACATCAAGATCTCAGCCCTCCATCATTGAAAAGTCATGCTGAGGTAGGAACAAGGAAGGAGACCACACAGAAAAGACTCCCCAGGCCTTTGGTAAGGCAAGATTGGAAGGAAAACCAGAGTTCACGAGCTGTGTTCTCCTGCCAGGTGGATCTGGAGGAGTGGAGGACACGGCTGCAACTCTATTGAAGTGACCCTAGTCTTACATAGACTCCAGAATTCCCTAAGTAATAGAAAGGGCAGCAATCAAGAGTTTCTGTGTAGGAATCTGGAAAGTGACTTCCTAGACATCCAACAGGGCCATGCCATGGTTTGCAAAAGTTTCCTCCGTCCCCAGTTTGCACAGTTGAAATTCTAGTGAGAAGTGTGGTCTTTGGGAAGGAAGTAAAACCTGAGGGTGGATTCATGCCCACTTTAGAAAGACATGGAAAGGTTAGCTGACCCTTCTACTGTGTTCTGGCACAGGAATGAAGCACTGTGTTTGAGGAAGGGGACCTACCTGAACTTTATTCTTGGATGTCTTGGTCTCCAGAACTGTTCACCATCACCATGGTGTTTTGTTACAGCTCTAGAACATGATAAAACACTTCAGAGCATGGCTAGGGATAAGAAAAGGGTGTGTCACATGGAAGCTACCAATCACTCCTTCCCATCATGGAGCCAACCAAATGTGGGTGTGATAAAGACTGACTGAGATGACATTTGTGTCATTCATCAGAACTTTCTGTTTCTTTATCTTTTTTTAAAAAAGATTTGCTTATTTATTATGTGGACAGT